ATTCGAACTTGCGGAGACAATTAAAGTGAATTAAGTGATGCCTGTTAATTACTCCATATTTCCATTACATTATAAGAGATCTGGAAGAACCAATGATATTGAGCAATTCAATTGGACAATTATTAAATTTTCAATCTCACTGTATTTTAATTTATAATTAATTGAAAAGTTGAACTCAATATTTGTAGGACTTTACCCTCGTAAGGGAGCCCTTCCAGAAATTCTCGACGGCCAAGGTCAAGCCCAGGCCGAAGAGGGGGTTTGGAAATAGTTTTCAACCAGCAATTGACGCGCCTCGGTTATTACCTCACTAGCTGCGTCATTGCCCCAAGCGCAAAGATAATCTTTAAGTAAGGAAATATTGTTTGTTATATACTATGTCTACAATCATTTATTCGTAAACGTTCGATGTGGGATGAGTTATTGAGGAGAGGTCCAGAGATAACTGTTCCGGTGTTCCCCTTCTCTTGAGTTTATACATACTTGACGGTCTTTGCCAAAAACAGCGAGATTAACAAAATCTAAGGTTGAAATGTTTGGTATTTTTTGTTTCTTCAGGCAATTATGTCAATATATTAAAAATTTAAAAATACATAAATAGGTCTTAAATCGACAATCTAAAACGTATTATGAGTGATGCAATTGCAAATGTAAGTAGTAGCTGTCTTAAATGTAGATGAAAATAGGACATAAGTCACACAACAACACAGTCCAGTGCATCACATGAGTTGATTTAGTTGCTATAGTACATATGAAAATAGAAAACAAACCCTAGGAAAAAACACGAGCAATATATTAAACAAAGGTATCAACCACACACAATAAATAGCGATATGAAAGAAGGTATGCGCGCATTTTAAGTCAAGGATAAGCTACAATGACAGATTGAACGGCTTGAATAGGGTTGACATCGAAACGGCCAAACCCTGCCTTATTAAGCAAGCAGCTCCATTCTTTAAAGGTCCTCTCTTTGCCATTTGTTGTGTGAGCCAACATCACCATATCTAGCATTAATCTTACATCTTCAAACTTATCTTTTGCATCTTCTTCAATTACAGATTCCACAATGATCACCTTCCCTTTATCCTTTGCTATGGCTTCCTTGCAGTTTTTCAAAATTTGGATGCACTCGTCATCCCCCCAGTCATGCAACACCCACTACATTACATAAACAATAAAATCACATGATTCATACACATTATTAGTTAAAGATTATTTGTTTTGAGTGGATTGGTTAGTGAATGTAAAATAAAGTATGGTATTCAACCAATAAAGTTGTAAATGTAAAAGCTTGTCCTTGTGAGCGTATATTTTTGTTCTTGTTAGTTCATAATATTTTAACTTATTTTACACAAAATGAGTTCAGATAAATTTATAAGAAACAATTATGGGGAAAATTACGCATGAGTGTGCAAAATAAAGAATTTACCATGATGAATGCAACATCGGCTTTTGGAATACTCTCAAACATGTTTCCACCTACATGTTGCACCCGCTCACAAGGCAGTCCTTCAGATGCAACATGAGGAAGATCAAAATTAATGCCTTGAGTCCAAGGAAAACCCTCAACAAGCATAGACGAGGCGGTTCCATCTCCTCCCCCAACATCAACAACGGTAGAAACACCGTCGAACAAACTAGGACACTCATTGATAATTTGAGGTACTACAACCCTAGCATCACAAGCCATAGCATCATTGATAAGCTTGCTATGAGCAATATTATTACTTGCATAACTCCACACATCTTCTCCATTGGCTGCATCAAATGCCGACCCATCTTTCTCTTGAACGCGATTGCTTAGACCAAGCCAAGGGGCTAGCATAACCGGGCTGCTCTCTAGTTGTATAAAGGCAGCCATGCTATTTTTCCCCTGACTTAACAAACGTCTAGAAAGGGGTGTTTCGGCGAAAACTAACGTGCTTTGGCTTGTTTGGCTTAGCTTAAAAATTTTCCGGTGAGCTAAGAACCTCATGACGCGGTACAAAGAGGGTGCTGGACATTTAAGGGAAGAGGCTAGTTCGGTGAGTGACATAGAGCCACCATTTCTATGTAACACGTTGGCTATACCGAGATCGATAGCACATTTTACAATTGCCATCTCAGTGAAACCAAATACATATTTCCAAATATCTACACTTGCTTGTGCCTCTTCATCATCTTCTTTTTCATTATTATGCTCACCATTAGTTATTACATCTCTCAGTATTATTTGTTCCATTTTTTTTTTTCCCTATTCGTATCTAATACCAAGCATACTTGAAGGCTTTATATAATGCCGTCTATGCCAGGAATTTGTTACCCTTCATCTTTTCCACGATTTTTGTCATTGGTCGATCATCTAACAAGTCAGAAAGTTAATATATAATTGTTACGAGTAATTGTATAATATAATATAATATAATATATATATATACTGCTAGGCTCTATTCAGTAAAATTAATTTAATTTCGACAAAAATAATTAATTTCAGTTCAACAAAAATAATGATACATCGAACAAATCATAAGTGGATTAATATATATGTCTTGTGTTTATATAATATTATATGTCCACTGTAATTATACAAATAAGTATGTTTAAGCACCAATGTTTGAATTCATAACCTCACATCCATTCATTAGTCTAAAGCTAAGTTTAACCACCATTTCAACGTACAATTTATGATTATTAACTCTTTAACTATTATAAAAAAGAAGAGAGTGAGGGATAGATAGGTTGGGTACGATGGTTAGAGCCTCCCTCCCAAATCCAGGAGATCCAGAGATTGATTATCTAAATGACTTTTAATACTCAAATATAATACTCCGTACTTTATATTTGATTAACAATTTATAATACACTAGCAAAACCTTTATTTTCTTTTAATCCGAATGATTTTTTTAACACACTTTTTGTATGTATGGTAACACATTCATTTTATTAAATTTTCGTCCTTTTTGATCCGTGCATATTCACAGGCACAAACTAATGAACTCTTATTATATAATTCATTCCCCATCATACATGGTGAATTAATTAAATACAGACTCCCGCCCTTTCATATTTTTAAAGAGTAAGAAAGGATTGCTTCAACCATATGGGGTCTCGGCAATAACAACAACTTACCACCGGTATTCTCCGGCGAAAGTGGTTGGCAAATAATTAATGAATAGATCGAGATCGAGGTCATCGAGAGTGTGAGGCTTCTGTGTTGCACAGCGACGAACACTTATAGCTATTAATAACTACGAAGTACTAAGCAAATAACTAGCTAGGTCCGCATTAACATCATGGTCCCTATTTAAGTTGTGATCGTCAATAGAACACCACATATCAGATACGGTGCAACTACTTACTCATATTTCTTTATCGGTCACAGTGCCTGCCTGTTTGGTGCACGACAAATGGGCAGACACTATGACCAATGATCAACTCATAATGGGAGGGGAGGGGGTTCATATTCATTAAGCTGGGTCCAATGAATTCGGGATTGATTGGGACAACCAGACCGATTTCGGACAACTTGTAATATACTTCCTTAGTTCTTTTTAAGTTGACACTTTTTTTTTTTTTTTTTTCAATCGTCAACATGCTATTTTAATTATTAATACATCTAATTATCAATAAATGAAAATTATAAAAAATTGATATTATGAAAATATATTTTGAGGTGGTTCTAACAAAACCTCGTATGACTATGTTTTTATGTATTTGTTAAATATAAACTAAATTTGTTTAGTTATTTTAAAAAAAAATAAAAAACTAATCAAATAAAGTAATTTAGCCTCGTCATTTTCGTCTATTGTTGTTGTATTCTATTTTTGGTGGTGAAATCTATTTTTTTTTTTAATCTTTTATGGGTGGTATTTTAATTTTTTTTTTTTTTTTTTTTTTTTTTTTTTTTCTGTAATTTCAAAAAGTGGGTTAGCTATAGGTGATAAAATACAAAATATCCCCTTTTTATTTGCTTCCATTAATTCTCCAAAATCCTACTAGGAAGAACAAAATAATACAGACAAAATTATTTCTTTCTTCTTTCTTCACCTTCTTATTTGTAAATTTTTATTTTGGAAAAAAATAATGTAATTTTCATTCTCTTCACCTTAAACACATAATGCTAGTCATAGGTTAAAACATTAGCAAAACTATTTACGAAGTACAAGCCATGAATAAAATTATGTTTAGTCATTCACGTAAACCACTTGAAATTTTAATTAACTAATAATTGTTGGTAATCAATTTTTATTCTTAAATAACAAAAAATTTCTATCTGACTTTTCAAAAAACCTTATTTTAAGAAAGAAGGGGAGACAAGATAATTAGAGCATGAAACACGACCTTCTTTTTAATTACTTTAGCTTAATCAATGATTTTGAAAGGGTTATTGTACCTATTAAATTATATGTTTTTTTTCGCTTTTTCTGCCGTTTGTTATATAGTGATCATCACAATTCACAATCAACACATAATACAGTATATATTGGAAAATATGCAATATTAATTGGGTTACTTGGCTTTTGTTGATTGGATTATTGGTAGCAGGTTTAGCAGCACATTAGTTTTCCTCTCCTTTTTCTAAAGTTTTCTAATTAAACCAGCAAAAAATCAAGTGGGGATTCTTAAGAGGATCCTCCACATTGTCGTAGATATTGTGATTTATTTAATTTGATTTAGGGGGATCCGAGGTACCTTGTAGTCCGAATCCTCAAAGGTTCGAACCCTGAGATCGAGTACATTTATATACTTCGTACAACTATTTGACAAACCCCCAACGGCCCTAAGAGGTTAAAAAATGCGATCTTGGTCTGAGAAGGTAGCTTCGACAATATTTTAGATAGGTGTGGTGGTATCTCATATGATAGGTGTTTTAGATTTCGTGATAGCTAGGACTGTGACGTACAAATTTCAGTACCTCTGAAGCAAATTATCAATCATCTCCACTACATACAGGGAAGCATAGAAGCAAAAAGTTTAGACCTAGTATTACTTAGCGAATAATTTGCCGTCAAAAAAAAAAATTAGCGAATAATTTTGTTTGCTATATACATACATAGAATTTGAAATTGGAATAGTTAAACAGCAAAATCAGTGTACAGAGATGCAACTAGCATTTACAAGGTCTCAGCCAAAAAAAAAAAAAAAAAAAAAAAGTCTCCAATGTACCATTGCTTTGCTGTTTCTTCAGCATCTTGCCTTTTCAGATCACATGGTGTTCAATAGCTGACATGAGCTATTATCAGAACAGAATTCGCCATCAGATCTCTTCGATAAACTGCATACCTCAAACGAGAACTGACATCCCTGTACATGATATGATTAACACCAAATGTCCTTTACGGTGATACTACATGTTATGATATTATATAGCCTCACAGTGTCAGTTACTCTTGAAGATCCCAGCCGAGAGGAAATAGAGTAAGACTGTAGAAAAATTTTACGTTCTTGTTTTCTAAGGTCTAATTATAATCTGTAGTTCACTTCAAACTCCAGATTGCTTCTTTAAAATGGAAGATTTGAGCCCCTCAACTATAGTCAAGAGCTGTGAATTTCCTTCACAAGATTCTTTCAACAGCCCCAACCTCGAATCAATGCAGTCCATCTGTACAACAGTAGAGGCATCCTGCTTGGGTTTCTGAATGGCACAAGAGTGTTCATACTGGACCAAATCCAACATCATGGCCTGCAATAGATTTTTGAAGATTAGCAAAATGAGAAACACTAACTTGATCCTCTACATGAATAAGAAATGACAGGAAGAGCCTTCCCTGGCTTCCCTACCCCACAAGTGAGAGGGGCGCAGGGACACCATGCCATGTAGCTGAAATGGGTGGATGTTTACTATTAAAATGCAATCATGAAGTTGATATGGTCTGGTAACTGATTTTTTTTTTTTTTGTGAAAAAATGATGATTCATAATACTACCCCCGTTTCAAATTATTTGCAACGATTAGGCACTTTCTATTCACACTTCATGTCAAATCGTTGCAAATAATTTGAAACAGAGGTTGTATAAACTATACAGAAATAGGATTTATACTGAAGTGCGGGTATATATGGCAGAAGGCAGATTGTGGGTTTCAATGAAAGCACAAAATCTAATTCTTGGGGTCAAATAAAGACAAAAATATAAGGGGAGGGGATACTTTTTTCTTCATCCGGGGATTCACAGAAGGACATCTTATCTGAATGCTAATGACATCTTTGAAAATCTGTGCACTCTTCCAAGAAAGTTTAAATATTTTATTTGGTTTTGAAAAAACTAGAAAGTTGCAAAGTCACAACTCATGAACGATCATATTATTGGTTGCGGCACTGTATCTTAATTAACCGATGAAAATTTCATACTCTCATAGTCTCATGTATCATGCCACCTATGGTCTCATTATAATGACTGAACAAAACAGCAAAAGCATACCTCATGTTGCTGTTTGCGTGAATAGTCCCTCAAAAGTGATTTCACAAGTTTATTTTGTAGAGACAGTTTCTGTCCGTGAGAATTGTTGAAAATGAATGATGATAGATGATGTACAGCAATAGCATAAGTCATTGAGTCCCGAGCTGCAGCTCTATCAAGGGAACCAGAAGTCCAGGATTTTGCATAAGCTTCCAAAATACCTTCATCATCCTGCATAGAATTAAAGGGAATGAGCATCTCATCTTACAGTATGCTTGCATAGTAATTAATTAAATTATTTGTAATAAACACATCTCCAAGCACTGCATACGATGCCTTCCAACAACAATTACATGCAAGAGTGCTGGCTTCACTTGAACTGTTGGTCCTGCTCCTTATTTACCCTTAAATCTACCAAATAATTCAAGGAAAGTATTCAAAGTTCCAGTAGAATGTTATATTGAATATTCTTCTAACACCCATGCCTTACAGCCCTAGCGCAGATCAAGAGCATGCTCCTACAGCCCTAGCGCAGATCCAAAGCATGCTCCTACAGCCCTAGTGCAGATCAAGAGCATGCTTGAACATCAAGATAATTTCTTAAATGCCACACAACCTGGAGTTCCTTTCTATTTTGGGACAAGAATTAATTTCAACGATTTAACCTTTACTTTGTAAAATAAATAAAATAATAATAAAAAACAGTGGAAAGAATTAACAAATATGTCCTTATGGGATTAAGGCATTCAAGCAGAAGAAGAAGAAAGAATTAACAAAATACCTCAGCAGGTTCCAGATATCCTTCTCTTTGAGTTACGCAGTTAATCAAAGGTGGTAGGAGTTCAAGAACGTGGGCATTAGATAGAGCATTCCAAGTGGCAAGTCTAATTGAAGCATCAATCTGTCTGTGAAGATATATTGCAATTTGTCGTCCATAAATCACATCACCATATGAAATTGCAGCAAATTGCTCCACAAGGGTTTCAATGAACGTGGAATAATTCTCATGAATCTCAGACTGAAACCTCAGACAACTAACCGGGAACAAATCAGCATCCGAAGAAGTTCCGGTCTTAGGGGCAATAGCTTTAGTGCTACTGAGCCACAACTCATCTAGATGTTGACCATAGAGGCTTTGTAACACTCCATACATGTACCTGCTCCTTTCATCTTCAAGTACATCCATTCCTACAAGTAATGGTACAGATAATCCATGTAGTTTCCAGATTAAAGGTATGCTCCGAACAGGGGAGTTGTCTTCATCTGAAAGCCTAGAGGACATTGCTTCAATACCCAGAAGGAAGAAAATCCCAGCTCTTGCAACTTCGTGAAACTTCACAGGATCAATTTCACCCGAAGTATTTGGAGAATTGCTAGATTTGATCTCACCAATTGTCGCTATAGGACTTAGCAACCAATGACTGGGAAGAGGCAGCCGCTGTCGAGCCCACTCAACTATTAAAGAGTTGCCAATTTCCCCGGAAATAATTGACATTTCCGCATATTCAGGAATGGTGTCAAGAGGAAGGCCACTCGGTTTGACAGTTTTAGTTCCACGGTTGTTGCCTTCCTTCGATACAGATTTCTTCTTTTTCTTTCCCGACAACCATCTATGTCTGAAGTGAGAAGCCAGAATTTTGCCAAATTGAATGAAGTCACTGTCTTTATAGTCCAACTTTAATGGCTCTACTCCTTTATAAGAGTGAAGAAAGTGGAATATACATTGATCAAGATATTTGAGAACAGAGGTTCCCATCAACATATCCAATACATTCTGTATAATCATTTTATCCCCTGGTCCTGCCACCAAACTCGCTGCCAAGGCAGAATTGACACTCTGCAGCATAAAACTATGCTCATCTACCACAATTAGATCTCTGGAAGACGAATGAAATGTTCCAAGCAACTCAATAAGCAATCTTGAATCTGCTTGAACCAAGGCAATAGTAGAGGACCAAAAGCCACCACCAAAAGTACCCCATCCCACCCCAACCCCAGGAGCGGGACCTCCCCTGCCAAATGCCTCAATGTAGCGAATGGTGTGCCATTCTGAAGTGACTAACTTAACAAATTCTCTAATCACTTTTCTCCACTCACTCAGGGAACATTTAAATATGCCATCCTGAAGCAACTTGTTGTCTCTAATCAGCTCATTTCCGTGAAAATATATTGGTCCAACATTGTCTCCAGTAATCTGAATTAAGTGATCAGTGGAAACTATTACCCGGAGTAATCCATGAAGGCAGCACACAGAAGCTATTGACATCTCATAATCTGACTGATGTCTAAAATCACACAACTTCTCAACAAAAGAACCTAGTGCCCATTGATCTCCAGAACATTCATTATTGTTTTCATCAGAAAAGTTCACAATACCTTTTTTAATGATTTGAAGCGAAAGTTTAGCTACAAATTCTGGCAACCGCCAGTTGCCTTTGAGCTTGAGCACATCTCCAGGAGTCGCTTTTTTAAGAACAGTATTAAGCATGTGCATAACAGCTGACAGCACCCATAACAAGGAGGATACATGAGTATGATTCACAAAATTGTCATCAGCTCCATTTAGCTGGTACAAGAACTTTGAAAAAGTTGAATCAGCCTTCATCTCTAGCCACTTTAAAGCCACATCAACCATTGGACCAACGTCATTCCAGCACCAAGATTCTAAATTAGCACCACAACTTTCCTGAAATTCTTGATTTCTAGCTTCTGTGGAATGTAGATCTGGAAGCCTTCTAGCTAATATCTCCAAAACTAGATACGCTTCCATACTAATGGAAACAAATTCATGAAAGACATTTGCCTCTATGAGTTTGTCAAATGTAGGAGGATTCAACCACAGACACAATGCAGGAAAAAAGCCTGTGAAAGAAGAAATGCAGTGGCCATGCATGACACAGACCTTCCAGAAACGTAATTGTTCTACCATCAACTCCGACGTTAGCTTACACTTCTCTTTCCCAGATCTAATCCACTCATCAATTGAATGCATCACTCGATACAGATGCCATGTCATAGTTTGGAAGAACCCATTCTGGATGAACTCTATACAAGCGCTCTTGTTTGACTGAGCTAAAACCTTTATCAGAAAGCAAAGGTTAGGAGGGGGGACGAGGCAATAATTTTTCAAAAAACAAAAAATAAAAAAAGTATCCAGTGAGTAGAACTCTGAAAATGAGTACATGAACCTCCAACTCAGAAACATTGAGGCTTTAGTTCACAAAAATTAACATTGAAGACTTGATAAAATGATCCTTTAGTACATACTTGCATACAAAATTAAAGAATAAAAAAAACCAGCTAAAAGCAGAACCTTATTTTCAAAATAAGATGAACCCAATGACTTACATTAGTTGTGTTTTTCTTTTTCCTTTTTTTTTTTTTTTTTTTTTTTTTGCAGCACAAAAATACAGCAGAAAAATGAACCTTTAGTTAAAGAAGAAGAAACTTGAGTCAGTTTTTTTTTTCTTTTTTTTTTTTAAAATAATGAACCTCCCCGATTCAAAAAAAAATTTAAAATAAAAAAAAAAATCACAAAAAAATGGAATCAAAAATTGAATCTTCAGTTCAAATAAAAGAGCCGGTTCACAATTATGCTGTACTCATTTCACAAATAATAGAGTAGCCAGAAGGAAACTACAATATAGGATAATTGGACTATGATGCTTACTCTTAGAAGAGTCACAGATTTAATTTTAGAAGCCTGAAGTTCCAATGCATCCTTCATTGTAAATTTGTTGACAATTGTCTGAACAAGCCTTTCACACTTCCAGATTGCAGTTGCACATCTAGGGGAATGCCTAGCAACTGCCACGAGTGTTGATAATATACATTCCTCCAGGGCCATCGATGGCTCAGTCTGTAAAAATATTATCATTATTATTTATGTTAAATGTTCACAACAGTAAAAAAAAATCTTCAGCACAATTGAGATTAATAAATAAATAAATAAAAATTGACAATTCTTTTTATCTTCAAGACACTTTTCCCTACATTTATTTTCATATTTAGAATCACAATAGGCCCTTGGGGAATTCTCCAAGCTCTAGCTGATGGGAAAAAAAAAAAACTACATTTTAAAGAGAACCTTCTTCCATGTAGAAGGGGATACACTTTTATCTAGTATAGGACCTTCAATAACAATATTCTAACAAGTTATTCAGTAATTTCATTTTGTTCTCCCAATAGTCGATTTTTAACCATCTGTATCGTTCATACAGGTATTTAAAATATTAAAATACAAAATTGATATGTACAAAAATTACATCTAGAGAAAATCCAACGAGTATAGTTGCAGATTAACAGTGAAAGATGATCAAGTCCATCTGAAAAACTTAGCAAATTGTTACTACTCCATACAGTCTATGGCTTAGGTCCAAGCACTCAGTAGTCAGTATTGACCATATCTTCCCTTGCTAGATTTTATAAGAATGTCAGAACAGCACGGCAGCTTAAAAATGCAATGCAAACAACACAGTAAAATCCAGATTAAAACACAAACTTAGTTTCTCTGCCCATTATCTAGTATTTAATGTAATGAAGGTATTTTCATGCTATTAGCCTTACCTCTAAAAGGTAAAGAAGCCTGGGTAGCATCGCCATCCTGACCAGACCTGCAGCGACATCCTGTTCAGCAATAACATTGTCATCCTGAATAGTAGGTTCTTCATTCTTGTCGTTTCTAATTTCTTCATCAGGGAGAAGAATATTGGACGGTTTAGTACTGTATTTCCAAAAGCCGCCACCAAGAAAACCATGTCTGATGTCAGGTCTAGTTCGGAATACCGGAGCAGTATATTGATTCTTCATTGTTGTTTTCTGAAGCAGAAAGCAAAGTTGAACGCCAATTATAAAAAAATTTAAAATACATATATAGAAATACAAAAACAAAATAAAATTATAGGGATCATATCATACCTCTAATGTATTGAAGAAGCTCTCATTCATGTCATAGGCTAGGATGCATTGGATTACTTTGGCAGAAGCTAATACAACAGAGTAATGATTATCATCGAGTGCCAACCTACAATGATGAACATTGGGAAAGATTTTCACACCACATCACATAATGAGATATTCACTTTCCCTTTGAGCAGACAACAACTTGTACTAGATTGATTAAAACAAAAAAAATCCATCAGCTAATGATTAGGTTTTTAACTTACCTCTTTTCTAGCTTACACTATGGGAACATGAACAATTAACAAAGTAGTACACTTTCGATATCAAATAGAAACTCCTGCTTGTACTTCTAAAGTGAGACGGGCCCCTATATTTCCTCCTTCCTGGTGTCCCCATTAGTTAACATAAAATTTTTAAGAGAAATCCAACCATTCAGATTATAGGTTTGTGTTAAGTTTAAGAATGGGAATTGATACTGGGGAAAGAATCTGAAACATATAAATAAACACCAACAAAAAATGCTTAAAACTCATCTAAATGTCAATATCCGGCGACAATGCCCCCCTTCCTTCCCATACCCAGCCCAACCAGTCCAATCAACCCTGCCTGCCCAAACTCCAAGGTATGATGAACCAAAATAACAGTGAAAAATATACGGGACTGTATAGTATAATAATCCGAGCTTCACAGGGGTGTCAAAGTCTGTATTTCTTAATGTTACGAGTATTACACTAATGGCTTTCAATCAAGCAACTGTAATGACTGTAAATGAACTAATTAAATGATACTTTTGAGATGAAGCATCACAGCTTATATGGTGAACCCCATCCTCCAGCCATGCACTTGACAGACAATAACCAATGCCACATTTTATCTTCCAGAATAGCATAGTAAAATCTATGCAACACCAATATGTCAAGCTTTCCTATGTTTTCCAGAATCCACATGAATCCACATCTATTTAAGGTGCTGCATACATTTCCAATGTAGATAAAGCAAGGTAAATTAGAGGGCCAAAATAATATAAGAGACAATGGCCACTTGGCCGTAATACAAGTACGGTGTTTCGTTAAAGTTGTCCACAACAGACCACAAAGTAAATCAGGCTTATAACTTTATAAGCAACCTCATACAAGAAAAAGAAACCAATAAACCCAGGAAATAACCCAATAAACATGTTTTTACCTCAGAGACAAAACAAGCTCAGGTTCTGGACCCAGTGCATAAGCCCAAATGGCCGCCCAGTCAACAAGGTTTTTTCCATTATTAACATTTGTTAAGCAATCATGTCGACTTTCACAAATGTTGAGCAAAGCTTTACTAAGAACAGACTCCAGAAGGTGCAACGCAAGAGCTCGCTGTCCAGGAACCTACATCCACATTTGACAAGTTTGGTTAGATTCATTTAGTATATACTTATGAATAGAATTTTTATTTTTATCTCTGTTTCCTTGAAAACTGCAACATAAAATGCAACTTACAACACTCCTTGCAAGAGCTAGAGCCTCCTTTATTGTATACCCAGCTGCACCAGGTTCCCCTTCCGTTCTCAGGTAATCACGTTCACCGACATTGTCAACAGTATATGCTGGATCCAAGGAACTCTCTACAACAGGGGTTAAATCGATATATTAGAACGGCATAATATATCTGGTAGTAAATTATGAATAGATCCAAATAATGATGACCTACAAAGTCTAACTTGATAAAGTAGATTTCTCTCAACCACAAATTAAAATTAAAATGAATGGACCAATATTGAAAACAGTAATATGGGGAAAAGAACTAAACAAAAACTCTATGGAACATAAAGTACAAAGTCGCTGCAGATACATAATTAGCTAAAAGTTGAGCACAATAGTTTCAAATGCCAGTAGACAATTACCTTCAATGACATTACCATCAAAAGAAAATCTAACAGTCCTTACAGACTCGACTCGTTTACTCCACATATCCCATAAGTTGCTGCATTTAGAGTGCTTTAACAATGACCTCTTGTCACCTTCATCTGCTCTTGTCTCTGTATTAAGCTTACTTGGGTTAACCACTGGAGGAGATACAGCACTTTCTGAAACTGAAGGATCCTTTTCATCTTCAGCTAAATGTTTATCAGCCTGCATAACACCCAAAGCAGGTATGTCAACAGAACCTGTACTACAACTAGAGCCCAACTTTTCTGATTTCTGTATCCCCCGTTTCTTCAATATTTTAAGCAGTTCAGGATTTATCCTATTTCTTATCTCTGCCTGTGCTTCTGCAATCTCCTCCGGAGACATTCTTTCTAATAAGGCCTGGTTCTCAGCATCAATCTGACCTTGAAGACTCGTGTGTCTTTCCTCATGGCCAATGCAACTGGGTCCCTGTGTTGTTGTATGCTGTCGATTCCTTATGCCTCGCACGTCAAGTAAAGAAAAATCTCCCAATCCCATGCCAACATCACCACATGGAGATATCTCCAAATGAGTTCCATCCCGAACATTACTGCTTTCAACATCACCTTTGGAATCGCTGGGCTGATCATGTCCAGATCTAACTGCATTAACGTTGCTTATTGCTGCTGATGATTCATTCAACCTATTTGATATCATATCCACGGATCTCATAACATTAGTTGTATCACAAGTCACCTCTGGAGCCCCCTGTAAAGATGTTGATATACTGCTGCCATTTATAGCCGACGATGGATTAGTTACCATACTTTTCTCATCAGACATTATATAAGAATCTCTATTCATCTTTTGCTTCTCAACACCCGCAATGGCATTGCAATTTTTTTCATGTTCAGGGATATTTGAACCACTTTTACTTTGAACAAGCTCCCTCCATTGACTCAAATCCAGTCCCTTTTTCTTTTTCTTTATAATAGGCTCAGCAAACTGTGCTGCTGAGTCATAATTTGTAGGATCATCATCCTCTGCATCAAATTCATCATCAACAATAGCACCACCAACAGCTGTGGAGTGGCTCACATATGGAGCCCAATGCTGTAAGAATAACAGGCTGTTCAAAATTCATAGTAAAGATTGTCATATTGCGAGTAGCATTTCAGCATTGAACAGTAGTGATGATACTTGATTTAGTGTGTATGCATGCACATATGCACATGATTATGAGTCTTATATGTGTGTCAGTATGTTTTGGTGTGTGTGCAAAGAAAAAAAATTGCAGATAGCTTGTGCATAAACAGAGTTCTGCCATATTGCCAATTTGCCAAGGTACTGGGATGCACTAGATCTTATACAAGCCAACACAAGGTATCCTCAATACATTGGTTAGACAGGGAAAGAATAAGAGCATCAAGGTACTGAATATGGTAAAATTCAGTAAATCATGAGATGTAATTTAAACAGCCACAGCTCTCACTCCTTTTATCAATACATGAATCACTTTATGCATGCCAATCTCGTACAAGGTAGCATTATATGCAATACATGTAACTAATCTAAAAGGTATCTTTTTTTTCCCCCATTGCTTTCATCTTTCAAGGTTCCTGCTAAAGTTTTTGTGTTGATCTACTAGCTTGGCCTTCATTCATACAAGATTCCGCCCATTTTCTCATGTTCGGTAAAAAATAAACATCTGCACATGAACAAGGAATCTCCATATTATAAATGTTCAACAGCTCCAACATGTTGTCTTCTTCAAACACTTATGCACCCTAAGTTTTTAAAGTTTCCAACGACATATTAGGTGATGTCATAAGAAACCAAAGGCTTTAAGATATGAAGGTGATAAAGAACTAAAGAAGATGAAGTTGTTACAATGTAATGACCCTAAACCATTTTAATTGAAGTTGTTAAACCATGGATTTGAACACTAATTTGATCGAATTTACACTTCTCTAATAATGGAGTTCCAAACTCTAAGCACCAATCCACATATAAGTTCCGCCAAAAAGAATTCCGAGCAAACGAAACAGCATTCAATTTCCCACAAAAAAGAATTCCATCATAACCCTAAGCTACCCATCCATCATAACACTAAAAAGCACTACAATCCACTACCATGGGCGGATCTAGCATACACAAGGGGTATGCAAGTGCATAGCCTTGTTTATTGAAAAACTTTTAAAGTTGCTTTGGAAGAATAAAATTCTTGCAGCTTGGTGGCATTACGGCATTATACTTATGTCTCAGCTTGGTTATTAGTCTTATTACCAATGTTCAATTCTTGTTATCATCATCTTCTTGAGTCAACGCCTACATCTAAGTTTTAAGGATGATAAATGAAAAAAATTCTTTTAAATTACTCCATATTGTTTTTATACTCCTTCAATTATTCTATAATCGAAAATTATTAAAGAAAAACACCCAAAAAACTAGGAATACTCATTTACTATGTAGAAAATGTATGTATACGCTAATTAAAAGCATGCCGTACTTCATATTTAAAACAGAGTCTATATAATTCTGCATACCCTATATGCAAATCCTAGATACGCCACTGTCCACTACCCTAGCTATAAAGTAACATGCCAAGATTTGCAAGATACACCCACACTGAGCAATGCAACCAATTCTCGACCACGTTTTTCTTTATATCTACCAAATAACATTAATACATTCACTTCAATAAACTGGAAACAATAAAACTCATTAACATACAAGTATAATAATGCAAACCTAAGTTCATCATCTTACACGAATTTGGTAAATTAATCACATAATCAATTTAAAGAAATACCCAACAATAATAATCAAAAGGGTACTGCTAAAAATCACATCTTTCTCAACCCATGATTAAAATATGAAGAAAATTGGAAATATAAACCATAGTATAAAATCAAACAGCATAAACAGGGAACATACAGGGCCGTGAGAACGATGGCGGGCGACAGGAAAAGGAAGAACAGAAGGAAGAGGAGCACTAGAAGGCGGAGTAGAGAAGCAATCATCTGAAACACCCTTTTCTACAATTCCACCAATTAGCTGATTTGCTTCATCTTCTGATAATTGAACAGCGTTTGCTCCGAAAACCCTCTCTTTCGGTAGCTTCTTTCGCGGTGCCGGTGGTTTACCGCCATTGATGCTTTGCTTCTCCATCGTCTGTTAGGAGAGTGAGAGCTGATTTTGCAAGACGTTGACGGGAGACGGAGGACGGGAGGAGGGAAGTTGAAGTAGGGAAAGGAGGTTTTTCAGTTTTTTTGCGCTTGTTCAACGTTAGGAATGTTAGGCCCTATTTCACTTGAGAAAACCCAAGTTAATTTGAGTAACAACTGAAGTTACTTAAAGGGCACGCTGGTCATTTTGCTATGTAAAGTCGGTGTAAATTGTCAAGAAAAGTGAAGAAAATAATGTTAGTGAAGAGGTTTTAATGGAGAAAAATCAAAAGACCTTCAAAGTCTTCAATGGAGAATCAAGGAGGCTTCAATGGAGAAATCGAACTCTGCAATCGGTTTCAATGGAGGAGGATAACACTCATACCCTTTGAGTTTAACCATGCCATTATTTCCTCCATTTTTTTAGGGTTTTCGTTTTATTCACTTGTGGCGAAGCCACCAATAAGACGACGGTGAAAATGGTGGTGCACGAGAAAGGAAAGCTTAAGCTACTTCAATGGTGTGAAGAGGAGAAAGAAAGAGGACAAAAATGGAGGTGGGTCGTGGTTTTGGACGTGAAGAAGATGGAGGTGGAGCTTCGTCCGCGAACATCAAGGCAAATATATACAAGAATGCCATTTGAGTAACACAACGTATACAATATATTAAAAGGCGTTCCTTTTAAAGAAATAATATCACGTGATACTCTTGAAAGTATGTCATAATTTTTTAAAATAAATATAAAGTTAATACACTCACTTATTTAGACAAACAAATAGTCTAAATTTTTATTTTTTTTCTCAATGTTTAGTCCAATTATAATTCAAATAAGTTTAAATAATTTCAGACAAATTCAAATAAACCAAAATAAGTTGAATTAATGATTGAGCAATCAGACACCAGTCACTTATTCTATATGTAATTAGTTATTCCATAGATGTAACCTAAATACCTAATTCGTATAAATTAAACGGAGTACTTAATATCAGGACTCCGTCAACGATGACATCTTAACTATGGCTTATGGGGTATATATATGGGTTTCTACTTTCTACCCCCGGAGCTCAACGCCTAAAGGGACCCATTTGGCCACTAAGCCTGCCGTATCCAAAAAAAAAATTCTCTATTTTGAAGAATAAAAAGCCTCCACGCTACTCATCCATTACAAATAGTGGTTAATTAATGGCCATGCACCAATTAAGTAAAGATTAAACATATATTTGAAAAAGTAATTGTTGAAATATGCCTTGAATTGGGTTTAGGAGTAGCAAGCTATAACTTGTGAGATAGCTCAGTAGTTTTGGAAGCAATTGGAGTTGCGACGGAATTGGAGCTATAGCTCCTAAACGAGTGAGCTATAGCTCACGAAGATAGGTTGGTTGGACTAGGCCGAGTGAGAGCTCGCTAGGTAGCTCGCGAAGGTCAAAGGTGCATTATGGGGAGAGCGATAGCTCGCTTGACCATGAGCGATAGCTCGGCTGGGGTCCGAGCGAGAGCTAGCTCGTCCGATGGTGAACGAGAGCTCTCTATTTTCGCACGATGGAACCCACACAACTCCTTAGGGTTGCGTGAGTCTTTTTTATGCGTTTGTCTATCTTATTTGGGGTAACTATATATAAACCAAGATTTATGTAAGGGATACAAATATTGTTCAAAATAAAATATGCTTTGAACAAGATTCGAACTCATTACCTCCAATACATAATATAAATAGTTGGCTGAGATGGTAATACATTTACTATCTATTACCATCTCAGCCAACCATTATTAATGTTTCAAGTGTCACATAATATTATATATTCCTTTCATTTATTAAGTAAATTAGAGGTAATATAATTCATTTATTTTTCACAAGGTTAGAATATAAATACATATGATGTGAAAAAAAAAGTGACATACGAGGCAACGCCCGAACCACTACAGACACTAACTATACAAATAGCCGAACATAATTGTTAAATTAAAGCAAGAAGTACACAAACTAGCAACTCGGGGCGTCGCCCGGGGTACACACTAGTTTGTTACTCAAAATGAGTAACATAATTTGTTACTCGAAATGAGTAACCTAGGTGTGCTCATTTCACTTCATCTTAAAAAAAATGACTTTTGTAAAAAATAATTTCAGTTCAATAAAAAATTAGTAACTTTTTAAAGAAGAAATCTAATAAAGAATCGATAAAAATAATTTCAGTTCAGTTAATTTAATTTTAGTTCAATAAAAATAATTTAAGCTCGACAAAAATAATTCCAATTCAATAAAAATAATTTCGGTTCAGCAAAAATAAGGTGAAGTGAACAAAACCTTACTCATATTAAATATAAGGAAGCCCAGGTTTATCACTGGGTCGACTAGGATAAACAAAATTTGTTTATTAGATGACATTTTGGTAAAAAAAAAATCATCAATTTTATCCAATCATCACTGAGGGATCCGCTTTATGGAAAAAGTTACAAGTATTGATTTATTTACGAAAATGTCATGTGATAAACAATAATTGTATATCTCAGACATGATATTGTGATTACCCGCTAAATACTACTTGCGTTTCTTATTATTCTTATTATTTGAATATTTTATATCTCATAAATAATACCTTCATTTACATTATTATTTTTAGTTATCGCCATCTAGTTGTTACTATCTTGTTAATCAAGGTCATTTAATTAAATTAGGGCAAAAGAAAACTACCCCGTGATATAGAGTGAAAATATATATTGTTACAAGTAGATATTATATACTTCGTAATTTGTAATCACCCAAAGGTGTAAAGTTTGAATCAAGCTTGGTGGAGTTGGTGGAGAACTCACCTTGTGACTGGTTAGGAGTTCGAGCCCTACCAACTAGATTTACTCATGAGTAGGGGGATTCTCTTACCTATCCCCTATACTCTCAACTTTTCAAGTGTTAACCTGCGGAGCTGGGTGCCAATTCAGTAGGATCCTTTATTTTACCTTTTACAAAAACAAAGGTAAATTTAATTAAATTATTCGAAAAATTGATTTGAGTAATCCCAACTTTCGATTATTTTTTAATAATCCAAACTTTAATATGATTTTACTTTTAATGGTCCCAACCGGCCATTAAACTTGTTATAACAAGTCACCTAACACGTGTCAAAACGTGACTGGTAAAAAACAATTAAATTTAAAATAATTAACAAAATTTAAAACTAAAAAAAAAAACTAAAAAAAATAATTAATGAAAAAAACTAAAAAAAAAACATCCACTAGCCCAGCCACCGTCCCCCAACGCTTGACCCCCACCTGGCTGCCGGCCCCTAACTGGCCCACTCCCTGATCGACGAATCCCGCCGGCGCATTTCCCCCCTCCCCTACTAGTGAAGCCCACCTCACCCCTCTCCCCTTCCCACGAACAACCCCTCCCCAAATTCCCCACCACCACGCGCCACCCTCCTTCCATTTCCCCCTCTCTGATTCACCGCATAAATGCCCATCCCTCCCCGAGAAAAAATAAGTTTAGATCATATCATTGTTTTATGTGCAGTTTTTTACCGCTAAGTATCTTTAATTTCGCAAGGAAAAAAATTAAGAAAATTACATTTAATAAAGTATACATTATTACGAATCTAACAAGAGTTACAAGACCCAACTTGATAGATTTTTTTTTCTTATAGATTATCGTACATATAAAATCAAAGTTTGATCAAATCAGACAATCAGATTAGATCAGATCAACAAATAAGGTGAATTAAACAAGCCTTTACTTTTTTTAAATTTTTTTTTTTACAGGGGTTAAAATTGATTTTGCTCAAAATGTACAGTAATTTTTTTTTTTTGTTTATTTGGAAAAGTTGTCAATTACAGCCATTTAAAATTTTTATTTTGTACATTTAAAGTTTTTATAAGGGTTATTTTATGTCTTAAGAATCCAGATTGAGCTCAAAATTGGAAAAAAATTTATACAAGTAACTCGTTATCAGCTTATCTTGGCAAAAAATAGTAGCACACGAATCGATACTTTTTTTTATTTATACGCACATCATTTCCCCCCCTTGATATGTTTATATTCCGTACTTTAACTGTTGAACATTTCCTCCATTTGCATATCTTCTTCTCAGTTCTCACACCTCCAATTCTCCAAACAGAGCATCAATGGCGGACTGGTCTGATCTTCCCAGAGAACTCCTCGATGAAATCTTAACCCGCCTCGATTCCCCAATTGACGCCCTCCGTTTCCGCGCCGTCTGCTCCACGTGGCGCCATTCATCACCATCCAACCTCAAATCCAACGGCCCACAAACCCCCCTCTCTCTCCCTTCCCATGGCATTTCCCTCTCCAAACGCTCAATCTTCGTTCTCTCTCCTTGCGAAACCCCCATTTCTGAATTACCCCACAATGACAATCCCAATTCATGGGTAATCAAAATCGAAGAAAAAAACCTTAATTTTTTTCACATTTTTTTCCCTCTTTCGTGGACCCAGATCGATCCTCTACCTGAAGATTTCCCAAGAGTCATGGATCTCTCCAACATTCGAATTCGTGAATTGGGTTGTGAGTATTTCCTTCGTTATACCGATAAAATTTGCTTTAGGGGTGATTTTCTGAATTTACTTATAGAAAAGGTTGCAATTATACCAGGAATAAATCATGATCATTTTTTTCTATTGACTATTCATGTTTCTGGGAAATTAGCATTGTATAATTCTGTTAATAATATATGGCATATTATTTCTGATAAAATAGACGTACCTTATGATGATATTATTGCCTTCAATGGGGAGTTTTATGCTGTTGATTATACTGGGAGGATTGTTTTGGTTAGATGTGATGCTATTGATAATACCGCGCTATTGGCAACATCTTTTGGCGGGGGTGATAAGAAGCGTTTAGTAGAAGTTGGTGATGAGTTAATGTTGGTAGATGTATATATGGGTCTTCCTCCATGGGAATATGATCATGATATGGAAAATTTCGATGGATATGTCACCTCTAGGTCCAAGTGGTTCAAGGTCTATAGGTTGGATAGGAAAAATGCGGTGGATTGAGGTTAAAGACTTGGGAAACTATATTTTGTTTTTGGGTATGCATTCTGGATTTTCAGCATCTGCTTCTGATTTGTTGTGTCATAAGGGGAATTGCATATATTTTTGCCTTCCCAGACAATTGTTACCATCATATTTCGATAAAGATGATGTCTTCAAGTTTCATAGCGGTGGTGTGTATAATTTGGAGGATGCTAGCATCACTTATTCGGACCTGTTTTGGCCTCCTCCGCCTTGGATTGCTTAGTCTTCCTGGGAGGTACGTGTTTTGTTTAATTTTTGTAAAGGAAAAGTTGTTTTGCTTATGTAGCTTGGACCGCTTGGTGCATTATATGCTGTTTAAATTACTATTGCTCCTTTTGAAATCCCCTCCATGATGTGTTATGTGAAACCAAATTTTGCAATTCACAAGTTTTTTATCATCCTTCTTCAATGATGCAAGTGGAAAGGGTGAAGTTGAGGGTATTATGTGTGATTTGCTTATGTGAATCTAGTACTTCGTATATAGTATAGAATTCGATATTTTTCTATTTGATTGGTTTATGTGCAATTTTTATAATTTGTCTGCTGTTGTATGCCCTGCAATTCTTTGTGATGGTAGACTATGCATTTCTTTTTACAGAATCAGTTCTTTCTTTTTGTCTGCCGCAATTGTTGTTGTTCTGACTTTGATAGCTATAATAAACGAATATAGGCTGACATTATGCCAGATTATGTGCCTTTGTTGTTCTTCCTCCTCTGCCCAAATTCAATTGGCATTGTTTAATTAGTTGAGCAATTTTCTTTAATAATTTCCTTAAAATAATAAAAGGCTAGTTTTTAGAGTGCAAGCATGAATTTGTTATACTCCGTAGCTTCAGCAAGGCTTCTAATGAGTGCACTCTTTCGATCTTGACCTGTGTATTGTTTGTGAAAGCAATCAGATGTTACAGAGTTTTACCACTGTTTTTTAATTTGATAGTATTTGATTGGGTACAGAAACATAATTTGCCTCCTAGTTTTGTGAATTAGGTCAAAATGTATGAATTTGCCTTTTCTAGTTTGCCGGGATTAGAAATCAAGTAACGCTGTTTTTTATACTCCCTATGTGTTATTAAAGAAATTTATATTGACCCTAGTTTATAAGGAACATATTTTGAACCTAGTTAATTAAGTGAGTATTAGATTTACTCAGGTTTTCCTTCTAGTACTTAGAGCTATGAGGTATGGAGTATTAAAAGTCAGCTTATTTCATACAATTATTTCCCTACAGCCTTTTTTGCTGAATTTGCCCCATCTTAAGAATATCATGCAATATTTTCCATTCTACTGAGTACCTTTAGATATAATGGGCTGTCAATTTTATTTTTTCATGGATTAAACAGATCCGAGAGCAAAACCTTGGTTTTTGGAACTTTTATCTCGGTAGACATATCACTCTGCACCTGATCGGTATTGAATTTATTTTTGTGCTGATGGAACAACCCACCCATCAATAAGACAATTAGCTCTAATTTCTTTATCTACCTTTTAAGGTAACTCTACATCTGAGGACAGACCTTGCCATGTCAGGTATAGCTCTATTTTAGAGTAGCCTTCAATAGGGCACATCTTCTTCAATTTTTAATGGCCTTTTCCTTCATATCTTGCTCCAATTAGTCCAATATAAAGTTTCCCTCATAACTTTGTTTTCCTTATGTAGATGAACTACTTAGGAACTTCATCTTTTGAGATTCTTGCAACACCTCCCAGTATTTCGGCTAGAGTTCTTTAATTTGTATAGAGCCCGTCACAGGCGTTGACATATATTGACCTCTAATAGTATTTTGTGCAAATTCCAGGACAAAAGAACTCAGTTTTGTAGCTTTTAACTAATTTTAAACTTTAGTTGCACAAGCTGCAAAATTTAGGTTTACAATCACAGAAAAGATTTTTGTCAATAAGATTCAAAGGCAGAACAAATACTAGAAACTTGCTGTTTGGAAAACAGCATAAGACTATTACGCTTTGTTTGGATAGGAAACAAGGAAGGAAAGGAAGGGGAGGGATAGAAGAGGAAGGGAAGAGAGAAGAAAGGGAGGGGGAGGTGAGCTCCATTTTCCCTTCAAATCTCTCCAATTTTGGAGAGATTATGCTTATTAAAGAGAGGGAAAATGGATCCCTCCTCTCCTTTCCCTTCCTTCCCCCAATCCTTACCCAAAGAAGAGATGTTTGCCCCCCTCCCTTTCTCTTCCTTCTTTTCCTTTCCTGGAAGCAAACATCCAGGAAAGGAACAAAACCCTTTAATTACAACTGCCTTCAATAATTGGCATGGCAATTTAACTACTAAAGTGGTTAAAATTGAGCGTTGAGTGCTGTTTGTGCGGTTGTGCCTACTTGAGCCATAAGTTTGATGTGGGTAAGATGAATTTAGTTGTGAGGGATGGATGAAACTTGAGTGGATTTAGGGTGCTAAGAGGATGAGCAAGTGTTATGAAAATTGTGGTTGCAACAGGGTAATTTTTCAGAGCTTTTCTCCCTCTTCTCAAAACTATGTAGTTATTAATTCATTTTTTATTATGTTTTTTTATCTGTTATATATTTTCTGTCAACTTATGAGCAATACTGTAATTGTTATTTTTAAGATTTTATGGACTGTTTTGTCTAACTGGTGCTTAATATGAATCTAGGGCTTTCTAGGGTGTGTGCCTGTGTGGTTTACCTATGTTACTTGAATTCGAGTAGTTTTTTTTGTGACTGCTTGGAGCACTTGGTAAATTGGCACCACCTAGATTTTGTATGAACTAATGGAAATTGAGAAGCTTGATAGAAACTTTGTTTTTATCTTTCTAGAAGCCCCTTCCTCTCTTCTCTTCATAGGGTAAAAGGATTAAGATAAGATATGGCCATTTACCATATTAAAGGTGAATTTTGTACTTCCTATGATTCTTTTGATTTGGTGACCATTTATTTGAGATATAATTATATGAATGACCAGAACCAGTTTCAACATTAATGGACAGGTCTTCATAGTGAAGCATGGATTCCCCTTCCTCCCGCCCCGAATTTCCTGAAATGAGATTTCAAGCCGCACCTAAGATGCTAGGCTTCCTAGCTTGTAATTGTTGTGGCCTCTATCTGTGTTCTGTGTATCGACACTCTATTTTGTCAAAGTATTGGTGTTAGACAAACATTAGGGGCCTACAGTGGCTATAGATAAAGCTTTTTGGTACTTTGGAATGTGATAGTCTTGAACTCTTGATAGTGAATTATGAGTACATTGATGGTCTTTCTTCTACCGTTTTACTCTGCAGTAGAATTTACAAGCCATTGTCATGTCATATTTTTTTACAGGAGAACCTATGTTCTTGATGAAAGAAAGTTCGGAGCCTAGATGGTCATCTTCCGAATGGCTTTAACTTTCAAGCTACAATAACTCCCCTGTTTTGTCAAGCTGAAATCAATTTGCATGACGTTTCTTCCTCGCCTAAAATGGCTTCTTCATGTTTCCTAGATTAATGTACTTTGTATGTAACCGATCCTTGTACATAATTGAATAAATTATCAATAAAATGCTTAACAGGTTTTTATTTTCATCCATTTGAGCTTAAAGTGTGGATGCTAAAGTCCATGTGATTGCCTTTGTGTAACGAAATGTTTATTGTATTGTACTATTATACTCATGAAAGAAATTCCGCCAAAAAGTAGATTTTTTAGAATCATGAGTAAATGCTTGGGAAAAAAGGGATGATTGAATAGGAAGCAATTCCTTTCAGACACAACAAATTAAAGCTTGTTAACAGTTATTTTACTCGCGATTTGATGGATCACTAGTCAGTAGTCACTACTAGCAAGTGCTCCGTATTAAATATGCTGGTCTTAATACTTATCATTTCTCATCAATGTGAAAATCTGCTCTTTCTTTTCTTTTGTTTGACCCAGCAAAATCCTGTCTTTTTAATCTAGACTAAACTAGAAAAGCATGTTTCTGAATTCTAATTCATCATCTTTAGTAACAGTCCTTCGTCTACTCCGTACTTGTATGCATTTATGTGTTTTCAATTTTCCACAGGACCACAAAACGATATGCACGTTTTCCTATTTTTATTTCGCAAATTTGCATCCACTTCTATTCTAGTTTCCCAACATCTTAATTTTCATTATCTGAACCTTTTTTGCCTGAACTCTCTTGTTTTTTCGAGCCTCGATATTATGTGTTTGAGGGAATAAATTTGTGTGAATAATGAGATCCTCTTAAGTGTATATATAACTGTATGTCATAACTATATTTGTTATTTAATGTTTATGAGCCAATATTGTTTAAATTTTTACTACTCCATATTAACATAATCTAGATGATATATAATACGAGTATATGACGAATAAATCTAGTCTAGTAAAAAGTTTTCTGTTTATCAATCTTCCTGCCCAAGCTCCGGTTTTCTCTAGCTATATATATATATTGAGCAAGTTCTCGAGATTCTCGAGTCGAGCTTGATAGTGCTTAGCTCATGAAAATTTTAAGTTGAGGAGTTTGAATAGTTCACACGTTAAATAGGCTCATTAACACCCTTTATTATGAAGATTATTATTCAATGGATGTCACCTTCATTTTGCTTTGTATAAGACCTTTAATTTTCGTTGTATAAGCAAAGCAAATTAGGAAATGGGGAGGAAAATGAGGTATTCATTATATTAATCCAAACAAAGAAAAATCATAGAAAAGAAATTTTCCATCCTATACTAATCACTTAATCAGTAAACACATCCTTGAAATAAAGAATTGTTAAAGGCAAATTGGGGTCGTTTCAGTGTGTTTGTCATGGTAATTTCATCATCTCTTTGAAAGATAAATTGACTTTGCCAAAAGTCCTGATTCCTGCATCACAAGTTTTTCTTTTTTGTATTTGTACTTTAATAATTGGGCTTTTTTTTTTGGTTGGGGCCGGAGGTTAGAGTGACATCAGTTAAACTGTTGTGAAATACGGAGTATAATATGGCTTCCACGGCACCTAAGATAAACACGAAACACGAATATTCACCTGTTTCACTAAAATTGTACTCTGTACAACTAGCATGTAGTACTGTTTGAAGATGTTTTTACCCTCTCTGTTTCAAACTAAATGTCCCACTTTGACTGTCACATACAAAGTATATAGTCACTTGTTTCACTAAAATTGTAGCACTTCCCTCTTTAAAATATTGTGTCAATTACAATTTACAAGTGTCAAACGAATGACAGTATAAAAAATAAAAAGCAAGGCTTAAAGAAAAAATACATCTCGTGTTGTGTAATGCTCATTTTATGTGGTGTAGAGGGAGTCACAAATCACAATGCTATTAATATGATTCAATTTCAGTTTCAGTATCATAGTATCATAGTATTAGTATGAACAAATGATATTAGTATCATAGTATGATTTCAATTTCAGTTTTTTAAGGCATCAACCCAAAACTTTAAATAATATTTGACGTCATCTTATTAAATTTTAGTTCCAATTATTGATGGGAATATTGTGTTCAAGATAGTACAGTAGTTTATATGACCATGTGTTTTGACCAAAAATTATGTTTGGATCAATTCTAAATGTAAGGAAACTAATGTATGACCTGCAATTAAATTAGTTCCAGTCTTCCTTGACTTCAAATTTTCAGTCTTTATATTGGCTTCTAAATTTTCTTTTACTGTCAATTAATCAATCTAAGATATATTTACGTATAGATGTTTGTATTAGCTAGACATTTAGACTTAGACTAACATGACTACGGCTAACACCTGCCTATTAAAGTATTAAGTATCAAATTCTAGATCAAAATACATAACGAGTTATAGTTTGGTTACATTCAAATTTCAAAGTATGTTATTGATTGGCCAATTATGAATAATTTAATTGATTAATGTAACTACTCGTATACATGTCTTGTTAATTATGAGTTCATTTGATTTGGATCAAGTCAATTTTAATTAAACATTTTTGGTATTGATTTAATGTCATATAAACGTATTGTAGGGAAAAAGGGACAAAATGTATGTATTTCTAAAACTATCAAAATTTGTGTATTCGAAATGCAAAATATGTGTCATTTAAAAAAATAAATTAAATTATCTTATATTGATGGAGAGGTGATCATCTTTGGCATGATGGTTGGTTTAACTTCCTTGGCAAAAGTTTGTCGCCTATTTGATAAGTTAGTTAAAAATATGTCTTATTGCATAATTTTTAAATGATATTAATTATTGGTTCAAAACCAAAATCTTACTAGTTTCTCCGTCATTAAATAATTGGCTAATTTAATTGAAGATCATTTTTATATAGTTAAGTTTAAATTCCATAAATTTTATCTTTATCTATTTTTTTCATGTTTTGTCATCATAAAGGTTATCGCTAAGCATTTAAGGCTAAGTTGAAAGTTTCCAAACTAAATCTAAAATGGACTCTAATTAACTAATGAATAACATATAAGTTGCTAACATACCATATATAAAATATACAAGTACTTGTATAAGGTATAACGAACATAAATGTCTACATTGACTTGACCCATCCCAAATTTAATTTGGTAGAAATTTCTAACTAATTGCTTACTTGTGAAGTTGTGAACATCAGCTCTATATATTTCTTTAAGTACTCACCCAAATATCCCATTATTTCTCACATCCATACTCTCTCCTCCAACTTAGGAGTATATATATGTTCTCAACCTTCACTATAAAATTCAATTATTTATATTGTCCGTCTTTTAAGTAAATCTCCGCCTGATTTTCTTTCTTAATATCCAAAAAAAAATACTTCCTCCGTTCTTTATTAAATGGCAGATTGGTCGGAACTCCCTTCAGAACTCCTAGAGCTTATTTCTAACCTCTCAAACACTTCCTCCAACACTCGCCAATTTCGTTCCGTTTGCTCTTATTGGCGTTCCTCTGTTCATGGCAAACCACCCGCTAATTTTTTATCACTCTCCTACCATTAAATTATTCAGCTCTGAAGCCCACGACTTCGACCTTCGACTCATCAAACAAACTACCTACATCATTTCTCTCTTGTCGGACCCCAACTCATGTTGGGTGATCAAGACAGAGGAACATAAGCCAGGGGTGTTACGCCTCTTGAGCCCGTTTTCGAAGAGCGAGTTCATTAAACACTTAGATTGCAACATTTTAGACCTTAGTAATGTTAACACCTTCGAAATTGGTCACGAGTATGTTCTTCGTAATATTAGCGGGAATGATCGAGTGATGAATTTGTACAACATGGAGTATGAGCAAGTAGCGTTTGCTACTGTTGGAGGAAATGACTCTTTTATCCTTTTGTCTACTCAAAATTCCACGGGTAAATTGTTAATGTACCGGTCTTGTATCCAAGAATGGGCGCTTTTGGACGATTTTGCCCTTGGGTTTGATGATACGAGCGAGTTTGTTTATGATATGTGGATGAGATATGTTGATGTGGCGGAATATGAAGGGAAGTTCTATGCTGTGACTGATTCAGGTCGAACTGTTGTTATTGAATATGGCAGCGAGGATGAGATTTTTATTGCGGTCAATTTAATGGTAAAGTCGATCATTGGAGGGAATAAAAAATATTTGGTAAAATCAGGCGATGATTTACTATTAATAGACTTATATACCTCTTCAGACAATGGATCGTGTGACATCTATGCAATTGATGCTTTTAAATTGGATAAGGAGGACAAAAAATGGGTCTTGCTTAAAAGTTTAGGGGGTCATTCGATATTTCTAAGCAACTACTCTTCATTTTCTACTACTAGCACTAGTTTGCATGGTCTTAAGGAAAATTGCATATATTTTTCCTTCAAGAATTTAGGAAGAGGTTTTTCAGAGAAAAAGCAAGGGAATATGGATGATATTGTTGGCGTAGAAAGTGGTGGAATTGGAGTTTTTAATTATGAGATTGGGACGTTTGAGTCATTGGAAGAAAACATCGAAAATTCAAAGTTCAGTTGGCCCCCTCCTTCTTGGGTCAATTTAGTAAAGTAAATATAATGTATTAGTTGTCTTTTTTAAATTTTCACTTCAACTTCTATGGAAGTTCTTAATTTTCAATCTATCTTATTTCTACAGTTTTTTGTCTTAGCAGCGGAATTGTTAATTTCCTATATTATTATCCTCCCGTTTCATATTAGTTGATACATTTTTTTAGTAATGTTTGCTAATGCATGATTTAAACCTTAATATCTTCAATTATCGATAAGAAATTTAAAAAAAAAAAAAAAAAAAAGAACCTATACATTGAGATGAACTTAACAAGACCTTGCATAAATAAAGCTAAAATAACTTGTGTAAATAGTACCCAAAGATAAAATTTATCAACTAAAAAAATAAAGGAAGTATAATATTAAGTCGTGAATAAATCAAAATTCCTTAAAAAAAAAAAAAAAAAAAAAAGGTGAATCCCTACCTTTTTAAAAGTATGAGTAACTTTTATAAGTAGTGTTGAGACTATTATGCTCAAAAAATGTTTATTTGCGTATTAACCTCTTTTTTAAAAGTATGACCACACTTTATGAATAATGTTGAGACGATTATGTCCCTAAAATGTTTATTTACATATTTGCCATTATCAATGTTAATTGTGT